GATTTCTTATGTCTCCTGGACCTCACCCAGAAAGGACAGGGCCCTCTTCCACCTTTGCCATTCCTCCATCTTTCCAGCATGATTCCCTGCCCCTCCAGGGGGCATTGGGGGCTCCAGAAAAGAGCTTCTGCTTGGGGATCTATTTCAGACCGGGCTCCCATCCTTTGTTTCTCCGAGAAATGCGGATAACGGTTAGGTGGTGCACCTAGCCCGGTGCCTGGAACACGGCAGGCTCTCATCAGGTGTCAGTCCCCTTCACTTGGTTCCCTTTCCTCAAAGGAACAAGGCTGCTCCAGGTGAGACGTGATGACAAACGTTCAACAGACATCACAGTAAGGATGGTCCCACAAGGACCCAGAAGGATCCTTCCTAAAACCCGTGGGTGTGCAGGGCTTGCGTGGGGCCACACAGCCACACGTGGAAGAGGTGGGCTCAGGTCACAGGGCTTCGATGTCCTGGGCACGGCTCTTCACCAGGGCAGGGCCAGCCTGCCTGTCCTCCTCTGTAGCAGGGGGTGGGATGAAGGGTGGGAGGGGTGGTCCTCCCTCTTGATGAGGCCTGGGACCCAGGCTCCGGGCTGATCACCTCCTCTCGGTTTGCTGAGTGAGGAGGTCCCTGCAGTGGGGGTGAGACCATCAGGGACTGAAGAGAACCATCTGGACAAAGTGGAGGGAAGCTCAGGGACTGGCAGAGACTGAGGTCCAGCCCTCCTGTGGGTGGCACATGCCACAGGGCATCACCACCAGTGCTGCTGGAAGGGCCCTTCTTCTCAGGGTGCTCTGACCCCTCGGTAGCCCTTGGCGACAGGTAAGGAGTGGATCCAGGGCCCCTAATCCCAGGCTGCGCTCCTCAGTGTGAGCACAGCATGTGTCCTCAGGATGCCTCCCTCCCGGCTCCATGCCCCTTCCTCTAACATGCGTCGCAGAACTCCTCCCCAGCCCTCTGCCCTCCTCCCACAACTCCTCCCCAGCCCCCTGCCATTTGCCAAACCCTGCAGCTGCTGCAGCTCCAGAGTCCTTGGCCAGGTTTCTTTGGGGACCCATGGGGAGTGGCGCTCTCACAGGACAGATTTTGGGTCCAAGGTGGGGGGAAGGGAAGTGGGCTTCTGGAACCCTGTGGTTTTTCTTCTCCAAGACTCCAGAGCCACATGGCTGGCAGGGAGAGGCCCCAGGCAGGGAGAGGGGTATCAGGGATACATAAAATGACCAACGGACAGACAGTCTGTTTCACCTCACTTCACCCTCACCCACCCTCAGGGTTCAACTGAATTCAGCACTTTTGAACACCAGGCTATAAAACGGGAAAAAAGGCTTATGATTTAGGTCATTTGAACAAAGGCTGTGAGGGGGACAAACTGCCACCTCTTGGGCCAGGTTAGGCTGCTGCCTGCTTCTCCTTGCACAGTGTTCTGGGTCACTTTAGGTCTTGGCACAGCTTCTGGACAGGCAACAAGTTCCCTGCCACTGCCCCCACGCCCCTGCCCCGGCCCCGGCCCTCTGAGGCCCTTAGAGGCTTCTCCCCGCCAAGCTCCTGGCCATCAGAGCCGGTGACCTCACCACTGGGCCTCTCTCCTCCCGGGCCATTGCATCACACCCACCAGAAACAGGAGGCCTCCAGTCCGGATTGTCGTGTACTCAATCAAGGACTCATTTTTTTAAAACTAAGACAAACGATAAGACGTGACAACACCAGAAACAAGAACATTTCTCTGACCAGCCTGGGCTGACCAGTACAGTTAATCACACACAGAAAGGAAGTCATTCCGGTCGGTGTCTGAATTTGTAGAAGCTCTGCCTGGAAAACAGACTGCAAATAAATAAAGTGTAGGGAGACCCCCTCACGCAGCAAGGGCTCCGGGGGGGCAGAGAGAGGTGGGAGGGGAGGTGTTAAAGCTGCAGAAAGCAGGGGAAGGAACAAGACACCGAGGGCCAGTCTTTGGGCCAGCACAGCTCTAGCTGAAGCTGCTACATATGTGGCCCTTTGCAGGGGCTGGGGCTCCCTGCAGTGGGGACCTCTGAGGGCAGGGACCCCTGAGGCTTATTTCTCCCTGTTGGAGAGCAGCCTCCTGGCCCCGGGTGGACCCCCCCTTGCACAAGGAGGGCTCAGAGCCGAGTGCAGCTCCTCCTGCTCAACAGCTCCATCCCTGGCCACGCAGCACGCAGGAACACGCAGGAAATTCACGCACTCAGTGCGTGTGCGCTCTTGCGTGCTCTCTCTCTCTGTACTAAGCCCTCCTCTTCCCTTCCTGGATGGCCCAGGAAGAGGCTGGAGCTGGGGACCCAGTCACCCAGAGGGTGATATGGGGGCTGGAAAGGGTCACATTTGAGTATCAGACCCAAGGAGGCCTCTCACTCCGCCCCTGCTCTCCTCCAGCCCTGAGTCACTTTTGTCCCTCAGAGGCACCCCAAGATCTGTGCATGGGGTCAGCAGGCTGATAGGGCATCCAGGGTGGATGGGGTTGCGTGGATGACAAGGGCCAGCAGGACACTTGGCACAAAGAAGCACACCATCGGGCTCTGGCTGTGAGCAACCGCAAGGGCACGTGGCGGCCACCGTCCAGCCTCATCCCGGGGTGAGGCAGCCAGAGGTCTTCATTCGGGTCCTGGCTCCAGCAGGCAGCTGAGCAGGGCAGATCGCAGGAGGCTGGGCCACTCTGCCTTGGAGCTGGCCAGACTGCTGCAGTTCTCAGTCCCAGGAACTGAGAACGTGGGCCTCGAGCTACCAGTGCCAGAGGCTTGGGAACGGGGATGGGGGCCTTGGGCTACTCCTGGCCATTTTGGTACGCTAGTTAGCAGCATGCCCTGGGCCCCCAGGACCAATCCAAGCCCATCTGGATGAGATCCTCCTGTGATCCCAGGCATGGGGGACTGAGCCTGGGGACAAAGAGATGGGGTCATGCCATGGGTCCCAGTCCCATCCTACCCCAGGTTTATCCCTTCACTCTCCTGGTTCTGTCATGTCTCAGAAGCCACACTGCCCCATCACCCCCACCTGCCACCAAACCGAGAGGCTTGCGCCGCTCAACTGCTGAGGAGTCCTTGGTCAGGCTCAGGCGCCGTGAATAGGCTGGGCTGTGAGGTGAGAACTTGGATCCCCAGGGCTTCTGGGGCCCTTCTCTCTCATCCATCTGGCTCACTGTCCTGCTGATCTCCCCTGTGACCTTCCATATTGCTCCAAGGAAAGCTAGGTCCCCAGATTCCCCACCCTGGACCCTCTCTCCCTAGGTAGCCTGGGAGCCCTGTGCCCCACCCCCCACCTTGCCAGGTCTTGGAGAAGACTGGGGAGGGGCGTGGGGGCCTGTAGGTCCAGGGACAGACTCAGCTCCACCACTTCCCACCTGTGTGACAAGGACAAATCCCTCCTCCTGCCCAGCCTGTTTCCTCCATCATCAGGAGGGGAGAACACATCTCTCTCACAGTGTTCCTAGGAGATCTCCGTGCCCAGGGAACATGGCCCGTCCTCCCCATGCCAGGACCCCATCATGGGCAACCCCACCCATGCTGTGCCTTTACCGGGAAGGCCCTTCCTCTCCTGCTGGTCAGGCCATTCACTCAGCTGCTCCCCAGGCAGCTCCAGGGCCAGGGGTGCCCCCGGGCAGGGATCTGACTCTTGCCAAGGCCAGAGAAGAAGCAGCCAGGTGATCACATACAATCGCCAGTGCCTGAAAGAGAAAGAAAGAGATGCGGACCTCAGAGTTGCCTTGCCACCCAAGGAGGTCCTTGTTTCCTCCAAGGGTTGTTTCCTCTACAACCCCCTTCTCCACCTGCTCTGCCCATCCCAGCCTGAAACCTGTTGTCTGCTGGAGGAGATCCCATTTTCCCAGATCCCTTCGGTATGCAGCGGGCTTCTTGAGGCCATGGATGGCTGGAGGATAGGCCTGTGGCCCTGGGAGGACTGCCATAGGAGCCGCAGGGAACACGGGAAGAGCAGGGTTGTGGGGGAGGGGTTGGGGAGGAAGGTCTCTCCTACTCCTCCCTGTCTCTAAATGCAGAGTCGCGGGGGTATCATCAGATAGAGGATTGGGGAGCACAGGGACAGCAGGAGCAAGCAGAGACTGGTCCCCTGCCCCCAATGACAGGGCGGAGGCCGTTTTCCCAAGGGGTGTGCGGGAGCTGCAGAGAGCCCCAGGGCCGAGGGCTGAGAAGGGACATCCCTGGGGTTTGGCTCTGAAGAGAACCGCCCTTCCCATGCCCACTGCAGAGGGGCGGTAGAGAAGTTGAGGCATCCTTTCTTCTGAGTCTAGGGCCTTCCCTGGGCCGCCCCCCGCCCATTTTCCGGGGTTCGGGTGACTCCACTGGGGCCTCTGCAGAAAGGGGGGTGGGCACAGGGCCCGGGGCGGGAGGGGGTGGCACTGGGCTGGGGGCAGCAGGGGGAGGCCCCTGCTTCGTCTGTAATGCTGGGCTGACACTCTGAGATGCTGAGGCCGCCGCCGCCCCTCACCCCACCGAGGAATCATGGCAGGGGAGGAGGGGAGAGCCTGCGGCTGCCTTTCCTTTCCCCTGCCCGGCTCAACAGCTTTCTGGGTTGGTTTGTCCGGGTGCCTTTCCTATTTCCCCCAAACCACTAAGGCGCCTCCACATCCAGATGTCATAGCAACCGCCTCCCCCACCCCCATTCCAACCTGTCGCCTCCTACCTTTCCGCTCTGGGACTGGCAGATGAAGTGGCTGCAGCAGAATTCCTTCCTTCTGGTTCCCCGCTTTGGCCAACGTGAGGCAACAGGTCGGCCGAACTCAAATAGTTTCTCGGGCCCCGCGGGAAGGGCCCGTTTAGCGAGTTTCTGCGCGATCCGGGGCGGGCTGCGACGGGGGCCGGGGCTCGGTGGCCGTCCCCCTGCTGCGAAGGTCTCGAGTGGAGGGGCCCGGGCCGCCCCGCGTCCGCCCCCCGCCGCGTCCCTGGGGCTCCCGGCCACCCCGCAGTCCCTCATGCCGGCGTCCCGGCCCAGGGCAGGCGAGTGGGCGGGTGGGCGACCCTCCCCCCGGGCCACTGGCGCTGCGGCGGCGCTCACTCGATCCGCACCTGCAGGCGGACGTTGAGCATCACCGAGGCCACGATATAGAAGTAGGGGAAGTTCATGCGCAGCCGCCAGGCCAGGTCGAAGAAGGTGAGCAGCGTGCGCGTGAGCCCCTTGCAGAAGGCGCTGTACGAGCTGCGTGTCGCGGCGGAGCGCGACAGCCGCACAGCCAGGCCAGACAGGGCTGCCGCCGCCGCCGCCGCCGACAGAGCCGCAGACGCCGCCATGGGCCCCGGGCCGGCGCAGGCCCTGCAGACCGACAGACCGACAGACAGGAGCGCGAGCCTAGCGGGCGGCCAGACGCGACGATTGAGGCACCCGGCCGGCAGCCTGGCGTCCTGCCCGCCCCGCCCTCGCCCGGCCGCACCGCCAGCTCCGCCCCCTCGCTGCCTCCTCACTGCGGCCGCCGCCAGCATAGCTCCGCCCCCATCTTAGCCCCGCCCAGGGCCAGGAACTGCATAGGCCGCTGCGGCCCCGCCCACGAAGCCCTCCCTCTGGCCCTGCCTCCTCCCAGCTCCTGGAAGCTGCGCCTGAGGCGAGAGCGGATAGGAAGGCGGAGCTCCTGGGATGCTTTTGCGGAATCCCCTGGAGTGGAGAGCTGGACGTCTGCACCGCTTTGCTCATTCTGTACAGAAAGCAGTTCCAGAAGGCCTGGCCCGTTCACAACACACCCGTTCTCCCACGGTGTCCCCAGAAAACCCGAGCAGCCGACCCGTTGTACCTTCCTTTAATTCACATTTCTCTTTCTTTAATTCGCATGGTGCTGCACTATGGAGTGCCACCAAACCTACATGCGTGTATTGTTTTCCTTTCTGGTATATTTGCTGGTCGCATATATTTATTGGTGAATTTTCCCGTTGTCCTTCCCTTTCTGAGCACTCGTCTTAATCCATTGCTTGCTCTAGTTGCTACACAAGGTTGTCTCAGATTTTCATTTGCACTCGTTTATGGCCTTTGTTGCTGATGTGCTTTAAAGCCTTTTTGTGGTTTCATTTAATCTCTGTTAAAGGTAAATTAATCCAAACCTAACCCAAACTCAATCATATTTTTCCAGACTATTTACTGAAGCGAGGAAATGCTTACGTTTCGTTATGGTCATGACTTTATAAAAACTGTCTGCAAAGAAGTAGGTTCGCCATGACCGCATCCCAGTTTTCACAAGAAGGGCTGACCTGGGTATTTAGGCCTTCTCAAAATTCGTGTCTAGCGCCATACTTGACAGTCTCAGGTAACTGTTTAAGGAACCCAGCATATTCATATACACTCACTGGGTAATTGTTCTACCTACACGGTTGAGTAAAAAAAAAAAAAAAAGACAAAACTGAAGCAGCAAGGAAACTGAAGGAGATGATGTGGAGCAGGATTGATAGGTAGTCCACTCTCCACCTGCTGCCAAACACAAATTCTATATCCATAAATACATCCTTTAGGAACGAAGGGGAAGCAAAGACATTCTCAGATAAAGGAAGATTAAGAGAATTTGTCAACAACAGACCTACCCTCAAAAAATGGTAGAAGTAAGTTCCCTAAACAAATATAACAGAATGACGATGGCACTTCGAGAAGTAAAAAGAACAACTGGAATGAGTAAAAACAGATGTAAATATAATAGACTATTCTCCTCGTGAGTTTTTAAAATTATGTTTGACGGCTGAAACAAAAACTGTAATGTCATCTGATGTGGTGCTCAATATATGCAGAGGAAATACTTAAAAAAATTATATTTGAAAGTGAGGAGGGTAAATAGACCTAAATGAAAGTAAGATTTATACACGTTACTGAAAGTGGTTTAAAATGTCAATGCCAGTAGACTGTGAAAAGTTGATATGTATATTGTAATATCTAAAGTGACCACTAAAGTAACTATACAAAGACATATATTAAAAAAAAAAAACACTGTCCAGGCACAGTGGATCATGCCTCTAACCTCAGTACTTTGGGAAGCTGAGATGGGAGGATTGCTTGAGGTCAGGAGTTCAAGATCAGCCGGGACAACATAGTGAGATCCAATCTGTTAAAAAAAAGAAAAGAAAAAATTATCCAGGTGTGGTGTCACACACCTGTAGTCCCAGCTACTCAGGAGGCTGAGGCAAGTAGATTGCTTGAAGCCCAGGAATTTGAGGCTGCAGTGAGCTATGATAGTGCCACAGCACTCCAGCCTGGGCGACAGAGCGAGACACTGTCTCTAAAGCAAACAAACAAACAAAACTATAGATAAGTCCAAATGAAATTCTAAAGAATGTTCAAATAATCCACAGGAAAACAAGATACAGAAACATAGGAACAAGAAACAGAATTAATAAAAAGAAAGCATATAATAAAATGAAACATATAATAAAATGTCATACTCAGGTCCCAGTATATCAATAATTACTTTAAATGTAAGTGGCCTAAATATATCAATTAAAAGACAGAGACTGGCAGAGTGAATTAAAAAAACCAAAACCCATGACCCCACTATATCCTGTCTATGAGAAATTCCCTTCAAATTTTCTTAATTTTAAAGATTTACTCATTCTTAAGCATGATTTTATGCTTCTTATAAACAAACCATTTTTCCTCCAAAACTATACATAATTTTATAATGAAAACCAATTTTAGAAATTGAACTTGGAAGCACCAAATCCTTGCATTGGAAAGAATCTTTAAGGTCATCTATTTTAATGTCCCCCCCTCATGTAAATCCTATTTTAACAATATCCCTGACCAATGACCAATTTCCAGCTGGTGCTAGAACTGTTAAGGTAGAGGAACTTCATTGATTTTCAAGATACCCCATTCCCTATGTTGAACAAAGAAAGTTTCAATCCATTGGTCTAAATTCTAAATTTTGGAAAACGCAATAGTAGGTTAATCCTTCTTGGGCATGATGGATTTTCGCATAGTTGAAGTAACGCTCATGTCTCCTTACAAAATATTTGTTCTCTAAACAACAGACTTCTTTCAAGTGTTCTTCATGAGATCAGTTCCTTTGTTATTTGCATTACCCTCCTCTGGAAACACTTCACTTTATCAATGTTCTCTTAAAATGAGGCATCTACAATGGAGCACTATACCACATATGTGGTGTACCAGTTTTATTTTTTTTCCACCCAGATGTTTGGCTTCAGAAATATCATATTAGGAAATGCTTATGAACAAATTAGTGTTTCTTTTTAAAAAATAACAGCTTTATTAAGATATAATTTGCATATCATAAAATTTATCCTTTTGAAATGTGCAGTTCAGTAGTTTTTAGTATGTCTGCAAGGATGTGCAACCATCACCACTATCTAATTTTAGAACATTTTTCTCACCACTAAAAGAAACCCTGTACCCCTTCTCAGTGAAACCCCATTCCTGCCTCCTCCTAGTCTCTGGCAACCACTAATGTACTTTCTATCTCATGGACTTTCCTATGCTGGACACTTTATATAAATGGAGCATACAATATGTGGTATTTTGTGACTGGCTTCTTTCACTTAGCATAAAGTTTTCAAGGTTCATCATGTAGCATGTATCAGTAATTCATTTTGTATGGCTGAATAATATTCCATTGTATGGACTGAACAAATTTTGTTTATCCGTTTAATAGCTGATGGACATTTGGGTTGTTTCCACTTTTTTGGCTATTATGAATAATACTGCTATAAATGTTTATGTACAAATTTTTGTGTACACATATTTTTTTCATTTCTCTTGGGTATATACCTACCAATGGAATTGCTGTACCATATGGTACTCAATGTTTAACTTTCTGAGGAACATCCAGAGGATTTGCCAAAGTGGCTGCACCATTTAACAATCCCACCAGCAATACATGAGTGTTTTAGTTTCTCCATGTCCTTGCCAACACTTTTTATTGCCTGTCTTTTTGATTATAAATATCCTAGTGAATGTGAAGTAGCATCTTCTTGTGATTTTTGATTTTTATGTCCTTCATAACTAATGATGTTGAGTATGTTGTCATGTGCTTTTTGGCTATCTTTGTTGAAACATCTATTCAGATACTTTGCTAATTTTTAAAAAACGTACATAAAATAAACATAAAATTTACCATTTTAACCATTTAAAAGTATACACTTCAGTGGCATTAAGTACATTCGCAGTGATGTGCAACCATCACCACTATCTGGTTCCAGAACTTTTTCATCACCCCAAGTGGAAACCCCATACCCACTAAGCAGTACAACCCATCCTCCTCCCCTCTCCCACCCTATGGCAACCACTAATCTGCTTTCTATTTCTATAAATTTGCCTATTCTGGATATTTCATATAAATGGAATCATATAATACATGGTCTTTGTGATTGGCTTATTTCACTTATTATAATGTTTTTGAAGTTCATTCATGTTGTAGCATGTATCAGTGCTTCATTTTTTATGGCTGAATAATATTCCATTGTATGGATCTATCATATTTTGTTTATCCATTAATCTGTTTAAGCACATTTGTGTTGTTTTCACCTTTCCACTATTGTGAATGATGGTGTTATAAACATTGCATTCAAGTATTTGTTCAAATGCCTATTTTCAATTCTTTTGGGTGTACTACCTCAGAGAGAAATTGCTGGATCATATGGTAATTCTGCACTTAACATTTTCAGAAACAGTGGATGCACACTGTCCCTACCCCCTCCCCTTAGCCTCTGGAAGATCTCATGCAGTAAGGGATTTCCCCTTATATGTCAGTCACCCAAATAAAACTTGTATGATACTTCCACCTCATGGTCATATCTTTTTCCTTGATCAGCCCTGAAATCTCACAAACTAGCTACACTGTTCCAGAACAGATTTGTTTCAGGGAGACTTTAGCGAAATAGGATCCCTGGCTGGAGTAACTGCACCCCAACATGGCCCTGCCCACCCCCCCAAAAAAATTGACTCGACTCCCCTCTGCCTTGACACCTTCATAGCATTCCATGGCCTCAGGCAAACCGGCATTGCAGCTAGAGAGAGGAAAACGTTCTCACTTTAAAAGCAACTGGATATTGGCTCTTCATAAATCAGCATTTTGCACCTCAGCTTGAACTCCTAGCAGCTGTGCTGGGGGCACCCACCACTCAGTCTCTGCCTGCCTGGGTACCCCTCCTGCAATCTGTGTAGGGGGGCACTCAGTGTTCTGAACAAGGCTGCACTTTGCAGGTGGCTGTTAGAATGCAACAGCCAGTACGATTTCTTCTGTCCAGCTGCAGCAAATGGAGCCCTGGACCCTTCTCGCTTTCTGGTTGCCATTGAGATTTAGAGGGAACATCGCCTCCTGCCTCCTCCTCACTTTCCCTTCTCTCAGTTTACAGTTTCCTTTCTCAAATGCTGGAATTCTGCTGAAATCTATTAAACTTTCGTTTCCCTTCCAGCACTAATGACTTTTTTTTTT